AAAAAAACGAAGTCCAGATGACATGATTCAACCTTTTTTGTTGTTAACTGGGATGTAATGTCTTAACATGTATTTTTAATTTTCTGGACATCATAATGTCAGCTGGCAGCTTTCAGACACGACACACAAACCTTACCTTCCGTTTCTGACTTCTATGGTTTTAAAGCATTGCCTGTTCAGCTTTCTATTCCTGCTATATGTTTCTCCAAATAACATTTAGTTTTTAATATCCTGATGCATGGTCAATTTAGTTTTTAAGTTTTAATGGGTCTGTCATACTGGTGTACTTAGTGGCTCACCCTGAACATAGAGTTTGCCCAGCACTTCAAGCTTTGTATAGATGCTCCACTCAGGTTCAGCAGTGAGAGTGGCAAATTCCCATCTTGACCAATATTACTTTGACTGGTCTAAACACTCCCAGCTTTCTTTACGAAACTCCTTTGAGTTTTCTTGTCACTATTATCTGGGTCATGCAGCAGCTGACTGGTAAAGATATTCCACATATCTGCACTCAAAGCCAAATAGTGAAATCAATGGCCCTTGTTGCCATGTCATCTCAACCAAACTTTATTTCTTAAACACCTTTAAAGCAACATAGGGTGACCAAAGTGCTGAACAGATAAAAAGTAAATATACAACACTTTTACTAGTAGCTATGTTCTGTCAATTCTACAAGTATACACTGTTTGTTTATTGTGTGTTCAAAATGAGTCTGAGTCACATGTAAAGGCCAAACAATAGTTTTGCCTGCAAAGGTTTCACGTCAAGACAAAAAAAAAAAAAAAAAGCTAAGACAAAAAAATAGATTACCCACCACCCATGTGACCATGCCCTGAAGTTTGAGAATCACTGGTCTAAACTTATATGTAATGTATAATTCCTTTATTCAGACCCAAACAACCGATAACTTTGGTGGGCAGGTGTCTGGTCAGATCAAACCTTGTTTTAAACCTAACAAACTGGTTCAAAGACAAATGGACTTCTTTTCAAAATTATTTTAAACAATTTGCTTGTCATATGAGAAAGTTTCTCAATTAGAAACTGAAATATGTTTTAAAAAGTTTAAGATTTTAGAATCAAAAGAAAAATGCCCCATTGTCTTTGGTTAAATTTTTTGGTGTTGCTGCACCATCAGGGTCTCCAAAAATAGCAGGTGACCTGAAGTTATATCCTCTGGCTCCGCACAACATACCAGGAGTAATGCTGGCCGGTTTCTCTGGAGCAGGATTACTGGTAGTTCTCTCCCCTTGGCGTTGCTAGTCATCCAAATGATCGTTATCTGTGGTAATACAGAACTGAGGTTTATCTTTGAACGTGATGCAACACCACTTATCACCCTATACCTCCTGGTTCTGGCACCACAATCAAATGATAAACTCTGCTCTAGTTAGTGGCAGACATGAGACAGTGTCATAGACAAGTCTAGTTGATAGCAGATGTCAACAATGTGCATGATGATTCAGGGGAATGTAAAGAGTCCATTACTATTATGATGACAGGCACAGATGGTATGGGGTTCCACAATACTTTACACAGTACAACCATTGTCCCTTGGTGTCTTGGACAACTGAATCTTTCACAATGTGTGAGTGAACTCGTGTACTGATTGGTTCCACCATCAGGGCACTGTAAGACCTGTCCTCTCCACATGTCGGGCAACTACAAGATACAACCACTCGTCTTCAGGCAAAGCCTATAATTCAACCATGCTTCAATTTTGTCAAGTGTTTGTAAGACTTTCATTATGTCTGGTTACCTTCACTCACTGATTTGATTGACTGTCAAATGCCCAGTAACTTTCTGATAATGCTATCACTCTACTTGTGACCCCACACCATACAGTACACCCATTGGTGTGTATTCTAGATGTGCCAGTTACTCGCAAACTACCCACTACTGGTATGCACATGTACCAAATTATGTCCACACCAGACCAGTACTTTTGAGTGCTCAATTTGTTTTTGTCAGTGAGGTTTTGATTACAAAATAATGCAACTCTGGTTAGAAATTAATACTGTAACATTAGATACAATAAGCTTGTTGAAATAAGGCCAATAAATATATTTGTGCCATAATCAAAGTTAAAGGGAGATTAACAAAATAATTAGTGTTCAATTCATTTCTTGGCCAGGCAGTACATGCCATAAATACATAAAATGAATATATATTTTCAGATAAACTGTGTCTTTCTCATTTAAAGTTTATTTTGCAAGTCTCTGAATCTCTTTTACTGCCTGGCTGTTCACAGGTCCTGCTCACCAAACGAAATGGTTTTTACCTCTCCTCTCTAACTCCCTCTACTTACATTCCCCTTTTACTAAAATTACATTCTAAAATCATAATGCCTTTAGAAACAATAAAAGGCACCAAATTAAATGAGTAATTTAGAATAATATCTCATTTGCCTAAATTACATATGTGTTAAACACATCATACAACAACACATTTGCTTTGTGTGTTGCTCACTGAGGAGGATTACAGTTTGTCTTTTTTAATACGCTGTTGTTTGCAGGGAGAGAGGGGCAAGAAAGGAAACAGGGGGGCCAAAGGGGATAAAGGAGACCAAGGAGCACCTGGATTAGATGCCCCCTGTCCATTGGTATGTCAGTAGTTCAATGTGGAAACCAAGAGGCAACGGGAAGGACAACTATCTGAGAATAAAACATAATCCCACAGGGCTTTAGTTTACCTGAACACTTGGGAGTTAGCTTCCCTTTGGCTCTTGGATTCAGTACTTCTAATCATCCTCAGGAAAACTTGTGGTCAGGTTTTTCAACTCTGGTATCATAGATATCAGGATAATATGCAGTATGGGACTGAACTGATGACTGTTTAATGAAAATCAAAGTAAGGTGAGGAAGACAAATGTACCAAATGAAAAACCTTTACTGAAGACCACAACTATGCCTGAGGACTCCTTTTATTTCAGAGAAGAGACGGGCAAGAACCAGACAACCACTTCTGATGGACATCAACAATTTCTAATTTTTTTTCTAACTTTTTAGCAACTTTCTTGTTCATTTGGATTTTCAGATCACAAAACGAGACACTTCTGTCAATTATCTGACAGTATGTGCACTCTTCTTCAGATGGCTTAAGAAAAACAATCCAAGCAAAAAGTCCTTTTTCATAAAAACTATTTACCAAATTTTGTTTAGTTATTTATCTGAACAGTCAATTTCAGAAAGTGATCATCTAAGTGAACCTAGTTCTTGCCAGTCCCAGGTTACCTGCATGTTTAGGTGACCTGCAACCAGTGGACAAACGTGGAGCTCTTCCTGGTATCAAGCAGCAGATGCTGTGCTGCACGCAAGCAGCACAAATGGATTTTAAATGGCTGATTTCATAACAGGGTTTCCGAGGCTTTAAAGGGGATAAAGGTGAACCGGGCTTGCCAGGCCTTGATGGGCTGGATGCCCCTTGCCCTGTGGTATGGTGCACTTTCTTTCCTCTCACTTTTCCAAGCATGCCTGTATTGTCCCTAATTACTCACCTAATTGTGATTACTGAGGGGAAAAATGTACATGTGCATGGAATTTGCATGATATACTTTGCCTACTTTCTCCTTAGACAGACCTTTTTCATGTAACATTTAAAATAATCTAACAAGCTTTACTTACTTTCTAATTACAAAAAAATCTATTTAAATTTACTCAGAAAATCATTTATTTATAACATATTAGTTTGAAAGTTATGAACTAACATTGTTACTTTTTACCTGAAATAAACTATACTATGAAACTGTACTCTGTTCCATAAACAAATCTTTGCATGAGGCATGACCTTTTTCCTCAATCAAAGGGGATTCATTTGATCAAATCAAGCCAAAGACCTGGTATGTTTGGTAAGATGTATTGCTTTTAACTATGAAGTTGGCTGCATTAACAATTCAATAAAATCTAAGCACGCTCTTTAGATTCTTACTGTTGTGGAATGTGATTTCTCAATAAAGTCTTGTTTTTAAAGTATAATTAGTCCTATCACTAGGTTACTTTATCCGGTTACAGGCTGTGTGAGATCCCAGACACATAAATGTTGCTTGTAAACTGCTGTTATACTGCATCTTGTTATGTATGTAGTTTTTCTGCTTTTTAAAAATGTTTATTTAAAACTGAATTTGTAATTGTAGTTTGGATTTTCAAGAATTACAGCGCTTCAGTTCAAGGTGTTCGGACCAATCATACTTTTACAGCTTTGGTTAAAATTGAGAAATTGTAACCATTTTTTTCCCTGATGGGTCACTGTGTAAATGAAACTAAATATCAACTATGTCAATATCATGAGAATGACTTGACAGTCAAACAAACTGACTAGTACCCATTTTGGATTGGAGGTGCACTGATTAACATTTAAAATCCCTTGTGTGATAGGACTGACAAACAAAAAAACAAAAAAAATCTCTCACTATCTCAGTTTGTCTATCAGAGATTTGTGTGGAGCATTAGACTTGAGCTTTTTAGCATGTACTTGTGCAACTTAAGAGAATTATCAGCATTTGTGAACAAGTTTAAAAAATGACAGTTTGTCAGTGATGTAAGGACACAATGATCAACACTTTACTTATGAATTTAACATTCTTGTTTTACTTGAAGGCAATTTATTTTCTTCTAACGAGATGCAAAACTAGCAGAGAAACAATGTTGATCATCTGTGTGCCATAAAGCAGTATTATGGTTTAATAACACCTCTTGCAAATCATCCCGGCACTTCTCTTTTTCTTCATTGCAACAAATGAAGTCCAATATTTTTGTGCTTAACTTAAATCTTCGGTTTTAATAATGACATGCTTGGTACCGTTTTCCAAAACAGGAGGCATAATTTTAATTATTTTTACATCACATTTGAATACCATAAAAAAAGCACTGTATATTCTGACTTGTGAAACTGTGTCCTCCACCCATCAATAATAATTTGTGTTCAGAAAAGGAGTGAAAGAATAGTTTTATTAATGTGGCTTTTGACAAAATTAATCATTTCTAACTTATCTGTAAAATATACTGTCTGACCAAACAGTCCATAGTGTTTTTGACACTGTATAGACTGTATGATAGAAAGAATACATAATCAAAAGTGCACAATCCATTCATTCATTACTTTCCACTTGTTACAAAGTCGGGTCACAGAGGCAGCAGCTTGAGCAGGGAGGCCCAGACATCTCTTTCCACAGCCACCTCTTCCAACTCTTCTGGAAGGACTCCAAGGCATCCCCAGGCCAACCGAGAGATGTAGTCTCTCCAGATTGTCCTGGGTCTTCCCCAGGGTCTCCTCCCAGTTGGACATGCCTGAAGCATCTCCCTAGGGAGGCACCTGGGAAGCATCCTTACCAGATGCCCAAACCACCTCAACTGGCTGTTCTCGATGTGGAGGAGCAGTGGTTCTACTCCGAGTCTCTCCTGGATAACTGAACTTCTCACCAAATCTCCAGGGGAGAGTCCAGCCACCCTGCAGAGGAAACAAATTTCTACCAACTGTATCTGCAATCTCATTCTTTTGGTCACTACCCAGAGTTCATGACTATAGTTGAGGGTAGGAACATAGACCTGCTGGTAAACAGAGAGATTTGCTTTACAGCTCAGCTCTCTCTTCATCACAACTGACCGGCACAGAGTCCGTAATAATGCAGATGCTGCACCAATCCACCTGTCACTCTCATGCCCCATTCTTCCCTCACTCGTGAACAAAACTCTGAGATACTTGAACTCCTTCACTTGAGGCAGAACCTCACCCTTGACCCGAAGAGAGCAATCCACCCTTTTCTGACTTGAGGACAATGACCTCAGATTTGGAGGGGCTGATTCTCACCTCAGCCACTTCACACTCTCTTGCAAACCACTCCAGTGAAAGCTGGAGATCAAAGCACAGTTATGCCAACAGGACCACATCATCTGCAAATAAAAGAGATGGAATCCTGAGACCACCGAACTGGAATCCTTCCGCCCACTGGCTGCACCGAAGAATTCTGTTCATAAAAGTTATGAACATAATGGGTGACTACGGGCAGCCCTGGCAGAATCCAACTCCCATCTTGAAGGGGTCTGACTTACTACCGGTAATGTGAACCAAACTCTTGCAATGCTTGTATAGGGACCGAACAGCTCATATAAATAGGCCCCCAATCCCATACTCACAGAGCACCTCCCATATTGTACCTCGAGGAACACAGTTGAAAGCCTTCTCCAAGTAAACAAAACACATGTAGACTGGATGGGCAAACTCCCATGACCCCTCAAGGACCCTAGTGAGAGTAAAGAACTGATCCAGTGTTCCACGGCCAGGATGGAACCCGCATCGATCTTCCTGGATCTGAGGTTCGACCAGCAATCTGACTCACTTCTCCAGTACCCCTGAATAGACCTTACCAGGGAGGCTAAGGAGAGTAATGTCCCTATAATAGGATCACACCCTTCGACCCCCCTTTTTGGAGAAGAGAACTACTACCCCAGTCTTCCAATCCAGTGGCACTGCCCCCAATGTCTACGCAATGTTCCAAAGGCATGTCAGCCAAGATAACCCCACAACATCCAAAGCTTTAAGGAAATCAGGGTGAGTCTCATCCACCCCTGGAGCCCTGCCACCACGTAGCTTATTAACTACCTCGATGACATCAGCCATGGTTATGGAGAGACTAACCCCAAAATCCCCAGACTCAGCTTCCTCCATGGAAGATGTGCCAGTGGGACTGAGAAAGGTTAGAGAAGTATTCCTTCCACCTCTCGATGACATCATTGGTTGAAGTCAACAACACCCCACCTTCACTGAAAACAGAGTTAGTAAAGTGTTTTTTTTTCCCTCCTTAGCCACATGGTGGTTTGCCATAATCTCCTTGGAGCCGACCGAGAGTCTTTACCCAAGGCCTCACCAAAATCCTCCCACATCTTAGCTTTTGCTTCAGCAACAGCCATGGTTGCAGACCCCTTGGCACGCCAGTACTCCTCAGCTGCCTCTGGAGTCCCACCAGCCAACAAGGCCCAATATGACTCCTTCTTCAACTTGACAAGCTCCCTAACCCTAGGTGTCCACTATCGAGTGTGAGGATGGCCACAGCGAGAAGCACCGTCAACCTTGCGGCCACAGCTCAAGGCAGTTACTTCAACAATTGAGGTATGGAACATGGCCCTTTTGGACTCAATGTCCCCACCTCAGCTGAAATGCAGTTGAAGCTCTCCTGGAGGTGTGAGTTGAAGATCTTTCTGAAGTGTTCTTTTGCCAGGCGATCCCAGCAAACCCTCACTACACGTTTGGGTCTACCGTTTCTGTCTGGCATCCTCCCCCGCCATCTTACCCAACTCACTACCAGGTGGTAATCAGTTGACTGCTCAGCTACACTTGAGTGTCCAAAATAAACAGCCACAAATCAGATGACACAACTATAAAGTCAATAATAGATCTACGACTTAGGGCATCCTCTTGCCAAGTGCAAATATGGACATCCTTATTTTCAAACATGGTGTTTGTGATGGGCAAACTATGACTTGCACAGAAGTCCAACAGCCGAAAACCGCTCGAGTTCAGATTAGAGAGGCCGCTCCTCCCAATCACACCCCTCCTGGTAACACTGTTGTTACCTACATCGGCATTGAAGTCCCCCAGCAGAATAAAGGAGTCCCCAACTGGTGCACCTTCCAGCACCCCCACCAAGGACTCCAAGAAGGCCAGATACTCTGAACTGCCATTTGACACATGGGCACAAACAACAGTCAGAGCCTGTTCCCCACCCAAAGATACAGGGAAGCCATCCTCTCATCTACAAGGGAAAATGCCAACACACAGGCACCAAATCGGGGGTGGGGGGTGGGGGGGGGGTTGGTGTTTAAAAGTAGACTCACACCAACTTAGTACCTCTCACCATAGGCAACTCCATAGTGGGATAAAGTCCAGCCCCTTTCAAGGAGACTGGTTCTGGAGCCCATGCTGTGCAGTGAGATGGGCCCAACTATATCTAGTTGGTATCTCTCAACCTCACTCACAAGTTCAGGCTCCTTCCCCACCAGAGAGGTCACATTCCATGTCCCAAGAGCCAGTTTTGGTAAACCAGGGTCAGAGCGCCAATGTCCCTACCTTCAGCCACTGCCCCTGGCAACATGCACCTGACTTGTATGACCCCCTCATGCAGGTGGTGGGCCCACAGGAATGCAAACCCATGTTGCTTTTTTGGGCTGAGCCCAACCCGGCCCCATGGGTAGAGACCTGGTCACTAGGTGCTCACTGACAAGCCCCTTCCCCAGGCCTGGCTCCAGGGTGGTGCCTTGGTAATCCCCGTATGAGCAAGGGACATTGAATTCCTTGTTTTGTCCTGTCTATATGTCTTCTGAATCACTCTTTGTCTGGCATGTTATCTAGCACTAATCTGCCTTGGGAGACCCTACCAAGGGCAATTACAATTGCCGCAGACAGCATAGCTCCTAGGATCATTCTAGCGCACATACTCCTCCACCATAATGATTCAAGGAGGAGAAAAGCACACATATAAGAGAAATTTAAAAGCATTTTATGTTCTAAATCCTCTATTAGAAGCAGATTTAAAACAACTATTTTGAAAACCTGAATGAAAAAAGGTTATGTTCTGTGAACAGCTTTTGCATTCATTGCTTGTTAGTTTTTGGGTGATGCCTCATTCTGTGCAGCAAATAATATATGCTTCTCACATCTCTTTTCTCTTTTTCCCAGGGAGATGATGGTTTACCTGTACCAGGATGTTGGAATAAAGTAAGTTCATTTGTGCTGTGCTTCTGCTTGCCTTATGTTGTTTTCATACAGTACATTCTAACTTCAAAACAGATATAGTTTGGAACTAACATTTGATATTGTGCCTTTGTTTTCTCCTTGCAGTGACAATAACTTTGGAGTGGCTTGCGTGATTGTACATAGGATATTTATTTTTTTACCTATTCTGTTATGCATTAAAATCATTTCTTAAAAAAAAAAGCTTTTAAAAGATATCTTTTTTTGTACAGGATGTTTATTTTAATAATAATACATATGATATTAATTATGTAATGGATTTTTTTAAACATCTATGCATTGTTTTAATATGACTGTATAAGTAAAGATTTAATGGCTCCTTATGCATGATATTTGTGCATAATGTGAAGAGTTTGATGCTTATTAACTTATTACACAAGGTTGCTTTGTTCTAATAGACCATGCTGCACTGAGTTGTGGGGCTGGAAAGTTTTTGTGTTTGCATTTGGAATGTCTTAGCTGAACTCTCCTCATCATGATAAACTGTTTAAAAACATGGGAATCAATTAAATGTTCTAGTTTTGCATTAAAAGAAAGCTGTACATTTTTTTAACTTTTTTTTTTTACTTAGAAAAATACAGACTTCATAAACCAGATTTTTAAACTGTTATCACAGTGAAAAATTATTTAGTTTCAAGGCAAAGATTAATTTTGATACATATGTATAGATTAACTGATATTTGAAAACTGTGGCCATGAAAATTCAGTTTTTTTTGAAAATATTCAGTTAAAGAGATGCCTTACTTATCGTGATATATTATATTATAATTTCTGTTTTTCTATTACATACCTGAGCACACACATAGGTGATTTAAAATCTTCATATTGCAGTCATAAATTTTAAAAACATTTCATGAATAGGACAAGCTTGATGAAGCCAGTCTGAGGATGGCTTATTGCTGATATATTATCTTTGTATATGCCAAATAATCAGCAACAAAAGTATGACATTATTGTAGTTTATTTTACTGTAAACAGGGCCTCGAGCTTTTCAAGACATGGTTAGCAACACAACTGACCCTGATAGCTGGACTGGAAGGCCATGAAAACATACCTGGGGTCTTTGCACATGGGCCTGTGGTTAGTTTTGTAGAAGGTTGTTTCTGTGCTGGCACAGTAAGAAAAAATATTTTTACGTATAGCAAACTCTTAATCATTAGAAAAAGAAAACAAAATCCCTGTGTAACATTAGACATTACATTTAGACCACACTATGATTAAAAATACATGTTTTATTGGTCAGAATTCAAGTACCTGAAGACTGGTTTACATTACTCTGTATAGTTTATTAAACACGTTTTTTTTCTGTTTATACACTTTATTTTCTGTCCACACCTCTAACAAAATGGTAAAATTCCATGCTGTACCACTAGGTGGCGAGTGTGCCCACATGAACAACAAATCTAATTACAGTGAAAGAATATTCACCAAAAACACTTGATACCATTTAGTTTTCTCGGTTATAAAGGAAATAAGCACACAATTAAAGTATGACAGTGGATGAGGAAAACCAGATACAACAACAAAAAAAAAAAATCAGATAAAAATGGCTTCATTGATATTTTGGTTTCTAGGGCGTTTGCACATAACAGATAGTGATAGTATTAAAAAAAAAAAAAAAACAGCATTTTGACTCTACTCAAAATACAAAAATATGTTTTTGAAAATCTTCACTTTGAAAAGCATTTGTAAAAAAAAATAACCAGAAACTTGTTGTGTGGATAGGATGTGCAAATACATCTAAAGAAAAGATATCTGTTTTTAAAAGCATGCAGAGTACTGTGGACATGTTTGCTGTAAACACTTTTGTCACTGAGGAGCGTATCATCCAAGATCTCATAATCATTCCACGTTCATAGTTCAGGTATAAAAGATTCAGAAACCTAAATGTTCTGTTTACAGCAGGAAGGCAACAGCTTTAAATCTGAACTTTATATTTTTCCCTCTGATTTCAGTTCTTTGTAAATAGTTTGATCAAATTCTGAGGGCTATCGACTCTTACTGCCAGGTTCTGTTTAACAGAAATGTTTGGGGGACTGACCTAATCAGTCCAACTTCACACAGCCTGTGATGTTGGACTGAATAACGCTGCTCATTTGCAAAATGCTGCAATCCTCTCACTGTTTAGTTGATTTTGGAATTAAAAATCTGTACCTTTCTTTGATATTTGAGATTCTTTGTTAAAACAAACTTTCACGTCTACAAGTATATGATGAAGACGCAATTCTTATTAAGCTAACATAATTAACTTTTCCAAGTGTTAAAGAAATGGAGGGACTGACCGGAGGAGACGCTCTACCCATTCTGCTGCTGCTCTTTGACTAAGCCTTGTTCGTGTTGTGCCTGAACCTGATGTTGCCTTTGAGAGTTTATTGTTGTCAGTATTCATTGTGTTTTGTTACCTCATGTTAATTCATACCCTAAACGCCAGCTGACCTTCATGTTTGCTTCTTTTGTCATACTGATTTTCATACTTACCTTGAGATGTGTTCATTTTGTTCATGTGTTCAACGTGACAATCTTGATTAAACATAAAATTCAGACTATTGTGGTTTTGTCATTAAAATGTGAAATCTACTCACTCTTTAGCCTAGACTGGGTCACAAAGATCAATTATAATATGATACAGTTATATTACGATATATAATACATTGCCCTTTATAAATGATACAGTAATATTTTTTCTCTAGTAATCTGTAAAATAAAAATAAGAGACAGTAACCAAAAATAAATAAATAAATATAATTCACTGATTTTTAATATCTATTCTTACAAATTAGGTGACATGTGTAATTTATTTTTGCATTAGTTAATTGGTTAGATTTGCTTTTCAAACAGCAGTGGAAGATAATAACCAACAATTTATAGTTTACTTTGGTAAACTTTGATTGTGCCACATTAGACTCTGTCAACTTGACAACTTTAACCAATTTCAGCTATCAGCTTTGAGATTTAAGAGTTAATTGTGGATATTTATACATATATATACACACACACACACACACATATATACATATATACATACATATACACACATATATACATATATATTTATATATACACATATATATATACATATATATGTGTATATATATAAAATATATATACACACACACACACACACATATATATATATATATATATATATATATATATATATATATATATATATATATATATATATATATATATATATATATATGCATATACACTGTTTGGTCAAAAAATAAGTCGCCACCAAAAAAAAAAGGTCACACTTATATTTCGTTGGACCGCTTTTAGCTTTGATTACGGCATGCATTCACTGTGACGTTGTTTCAATAAACTTCTGCAATGTCACAAGATCTATTTCCATCCAGTTTTGCATTAATATTTCACCAAGATATTGCATTGATGACTAGACACTAGGCATGATGGGTTCACTTCACCTGCCTCTCTTCTTACCCTGATGCACCTATCACTCTGTAAGAGGGTAAATCTGGACTCATCAGACCACATGACCTTCTTCCATTGCTCCAGAGTCCAATCTTTATGCTCCCTGGCAAACTGAAGCATTTTTTTTCCATTTAGCCTCAGTGATTAGTGGTTTTCTTAAGGCTACACAGCTGTTCAGTCCCAATACCGAAATGCTCTTACTTTCACTATTAAACATAGCCCCGAGTGCTAGTGTTGCTTTTCTTGAATTTGATTTTACCAAACGTTTAAGTGATCGCAGATCACCATCATTCAGGATTTTTTTCGGGCCACATTTCTTCCTGGAAGACGATGGGTCCCCACAATCCTTCTAGTTTTTAATAATGTGTTGGTTGTCAGCAGCAAAACTGGTTGATCCACTCTGAGACGGTGCTATTTAAGAGACTGAGCTGAATACAGCTCCTCAGACTGAGGAAGTCTCTCGGATGAGAGACAAAACGTTTCTACATTTTTTTGTTGATTTGCTTTTTTTTTTTTTTTTTTTTTTTGAATGTCCAGAGGACCAGATTGAACTTTTTTGGAATGTGTTGGACAGTTCTTAACCCAATTTGAGTAGTTTCTTCAATCTCCTTAGATGTTCTCTCTGCTTGATGCATGTCAATGATTTGACCCTTCTCAAACAGACTGACATCTTTTCCACGACCACGCCATGTGTCTTTCAACATGGTTGTTTAAGAAAAGAGACGCAACTCATTGCACCAGTTGGGGTTAAATAACTTGTTGCCAGCTGAAAGGTAATCATCCATGCAGTTATTATCCAATAGGAGGCTCGTACCTATTTGCTTAGTTAAATCCAGGTGCCAACTGTTTTTCGGCCAGGCAGTATATATATATATATAT